TAACGAAGTTATTAGGCGATTAGGCGATTAGGCGAGTAGGCGATTAGGCGGAAGACAACATACGTATTGATTGGTTTGCTCCGCCCATAGAACGTTGTAGGCGAGTAGGCGATTAGGCGATCGCTCAATGGGCGGAGCAACAAATCAATACTTATCCTTCTCTCATCGCCTACTCGCCTAATCGCTAATCGACTAATCGCCTACTCGCCTAATCGCCTAATCGCCTAATCGCACGTACGATCGCCAACTATGAACGCTCAATAAGGCGACGACCCTAAAATAAGAATACTTGATATAAACAGATCAAGGGTAATAGCTTCCAATAGGACGAGAAAAGCCAGGCCTAACTGAGGCAGCAGCTGGTAGGCTAGCGGGCAGCCACCTACTACTCTCACCCATGGTCCCGTATAACGCTACAGCGGGGTCATAGACACTTGGCGGAAATTCGAAACACAGGAATAACGACCAGATTCCATGGAGAATTTCAGTTTTTTTGGTGATTTTATTGAATTTACATTGTTTGACTTATGAACAATGTTCTTGATCTTCTCCAGGACTAACGAATTTCAGTGAAATTCGCCGGTTTCAATCTTGTGATGACAGCAGTCCTGTTCGTCGTCTCACTGGTACTGGAGCGACTTGCCACCACTCCATCGGAAATTCCTCCACCTCACTCTGTCGATAAGATAGTTCAGCTCATTGACCGACTCCTACCGTTACCCAAGGTTGGTTCGACTTTACAGTGCATGTCATCTGTCTTAGAAATCAAAAATTACTCAAGCCACTCATTAATTTGTAGAAGTTGATTTTCCGAAGATTCTCAGAGGGTGGGTCGTGAAGGTGAAAGTTGAGGGGGGGGGTGGTCCTGCTTTGGGGATGGGTTGAGGAGCTTTGTTATCACTAAGTTTTTCTGTGAGTTTGTTGAGAAGTTTAGAAAAGAAGGGTGAAATAGCAAAAAGCAGGGCGTTCGCCTTACCTTTCACCCTGACATATGTAACTCCCCCTCCCTCCCGTTACGGCGGCTGTTTTGAAGCGAAAAAGTGGGCGGAGTTGCAGTATGTCGAATAATCTCAGAACCAAATTGTTTAGGTGGTCAAGTTGGTGAGGATAATGATCTGAGGTGGAAAGAGAGGGAGGGAGTCGTTTGGAGGATCGCCTATAGCTGACTGGTGGGAGGGAGGGGTTGATCCCTGTCGATATCCTTAAGAAGATGGTGCGGTCCAATTTTTTGAAATCGAAGCAATAGGCGTCCGGTCGACCCCCGTTTCCGCGTCCTGAAAATTTAGTTTCTGAGGCTTTTCTTTAACGTTTTTTGCCTGATCTGGAATGTTTGGAGCCCCTAATTTCCCGTATAAGTTCGTTTCAATTATAGTTTGCTCCTGAAGCAAATTTCCCTTTCCAGAAATCCAAGCACGAAGATGAGTCGTTAAAGTACGCCGGTTTGGCTCACGCCGCTAATCATGGCATATTTGCCGTGGCATCAGCCGTTTACTTGTTGGTTATACTTGCCTCATTTGTATTCTGATTTATTGTTCATTCGGTTACGCCGTGTAAATACATTTAATTACGTAATTGTTAGCTTTTTGGCAAATTGCCATGAAGGCCTATTTGAACTGCCAATTTTTTTTTCACTTGGCAACACAACCTCGATCGTCTCCCTGAGCTACGAATAGCACATAATAGATAAAGAAGAGCACGAAAACTGTCGGCGAGAGGAATCGACACATACTGTCCAAGTGGTGATAGAGCCGGGTAAGACGGGCCTGTTCCGCATGAAGGTTGGCCCTTTGAAGCTCGTTCGGTGCTCGGAGGATGCTTCTTCCCTGAAACAGTTTTTTGTGCATAGAATGATGTTCTAAGATCAAGTAGGAGCCGAGCATGCTGGGTCTAGAGTGTTACCGCAGGGACAAATTCTGCTATCAGGCTGAATAGGGAGGGTTTGGCGGTGGGAGCTAAATAGTTCGGAATGCCTACCTACATGCGCGGCAGACTTGAATCGGTCTCATCTCCCGAAGGCCGCGTTCATAGTTCGCGACTACGGAGACTAAGATAGTAGGATAGTAGAAGAGTAGTAGAGTAGGATATTGACCGATTAGCAATCAGAGAGAAGGAGATTAGATAGCAGTCCAGTTCGCAAAATGTTAAGATAGGTATTGATTTAGATCGCTGGAGACTAGTAGATTACGAAATTGCGATAGTAGGAGATTCCGCTAAACAGATCAAATACGTATTGATCAGGATATTAGAATGGCGCTATTCTCTGGGGTCGCGAACTATGAACGCGGCCTAGTAGCAAACATTGAGTGGAAGAAGCTATCGTGAAGTGTACACTTGATCAAGTGGAATAAAAGAGCGAGGCACTCGGCATTACTGGGATGCGCCACGTACTCCGCTTCCATTTGAAGCGATGAAAGAATAAAAAAGTGGTGAAACTCCAGTTCGGGGGGCACTCCATTTTTTCTCCAATACTCAAGATAAGGATTAGAGGGCTCACGACACGTAATCGACTCATTTAAAGTAGACTTCTGATAAATATTGGTGTAATGGGTGAGAAACCCTGAAACGTTTTCACATTTCCGCCTGCCATGACCCAAGGGAACGGTCCTGGACCAGGAGAAAGGACACCTCCGCAAAGGGCTAAGGGTGCAGGAGCTCCAGGGTGGATCACCTGTGCAGAAAAGTGGATGGGATGTGGGCAGGTAGTGTGGAATGTAGGACATCCACCGGTCCTTATCAAAAGTACGCTCGAAATGAGTCGTTCACTTATTATCTTATCCGTAGTGTTCGATAGCCCAAAGAACTGCTCTCTAGTATACGGATAGGCAATGGAGTGCCGTACTCACCCCCCCCGAACTTGAAGTTTCACAAAGGTAAAAGCAAGTTTGCAATAGGTTTTGAGCAGTTTTTGGTATACCCATGGCAAGCCTACGATCTATCCCAATATGTTGGCGAAATTCGAGTGGCGACCATTGAGCCAATCCTGGCAACAATGCCTCTACAACGTGTCATCATAAGGCCATTATCAGCCACGAGTGTGAACCGGCACACATGACATATTTACATATTGGCAAGTTGAGATCGTGTAGAAATGCACCGCGACCGCAAACGCGGTCCGACTGCTGGCTTTCTCAAAAAATTTTATCGAGGCTGTTGCAAGTATGGCGGACTGACCGGAGGTGGACTGATTTGAGACCGGCTATTTTGAAACCCTTCGATCAAATTCCCGGTTACCAAGGGTTTGTCATATTTATGAAAAAAAATTTATGGAAGTTTCTGGAACCCGAAAGGAGTCAATCCTTCCGAATAGTCAATGGAACAGCTGATTTCGGGTCAGACGAACCTAGTAAGTGTTTTGTTCTTCCACCTAAAACGTAGTAAGAAGTAAACGTATACAGCGGCATGGTTATGTTACTCTGACGGAACCTGCTTAACTATTTGAAAATTCCTACAAACTATTTACCACTGCTCGACTCCTTTTGATCAACGACAGCACGACGAGGCTCTCGACGAGCGACAACGCGGTGAACACCTTCATCGCTGCAAACCAAACGTCCATAGACGTCAGATAGGACGTTCTGATCTCCTTGTCCCCCTTCTCCATCTGTACTAGCGTTAACAGCAACACTAAAAGACTCAAATTTTCTGGTGTCTTCGTTTTTCACAGCCTTACCGTAATCGGAGTGATAATCCGGACGTCTTCGTAATTGTACGGTACGTAAGGCGCAACCCATGCAAACATCATCGCCAACGTGCTCGGGATGTACTTCTCGACCACAAATCGTCCGCCATCACGCTCTAGTTCAAAGACCAGACGGAGGCATGAGGAACGGACTGCTAACTGGAGTGATGAGGGAATAAAATTGAATCGATATATGTTTTGATTGATTGGGTAAGAGGTATCCTGCAAGGGGGGGGGGAAAGATGGAAGTTAACCACTGTTCACATGAGTAGCGATCATTGGCGACTTACAACTCAACTTAGGAGCGGCTGGAAAACATGTGAAAAGTGACTTTGGGAATTCACCGGTCCTTTGAAGCACGTTTCAATTCTTCTTCGTAAACCCGCTTTAAAACTGATACTTTTTGAGAAGCTGTAGTGATGAATGAACTCTTGGTCTGTGCACTAGGTCTAAGGTTTCGAGATTCTTCCAGGTCCCTTATTTCAATATCTCCACAGGTTCAATAGGGTTATCTGGCCAGACGCCCATCTCTGACGGACATCCGCTCCAGAACGCCCCTCTGTTAACCGCACGAAAAAGTGTATTAATGGGTATTAATGGTTTTACAGGGAGTGGAGTGGGTAAGTTGGACCTATCAAAGATATAGGTATTCTCATCCAGTACCAAATTTAATTCACGTTTTTTTCAAATTGTAGAAGTTCTCACTGAGTTTCCCTTCGACTGTGCACTCCTCATTTCGAATTCGCTGGACATGCAACTCGGGCAGAGCGATCTCGGATTGAAAGGAGACTGGATCCGGGTGCCAGACGAATCGGACGAAGGAGGCTGGATATGCGACTGCAATTAGTCGAAGGTCAGCACATATTCTTCCTAGAGCAAACCATCTGTATACATCCTCTGCCGGCCAAAAACCCATCCTTAATTCGGTTGAGGCCACATTAGGAAATCTTCGGGTGCATTTGGAAGTGTCCCCAGATTGAACCTGGACCGAACAGCGACGCTTTTCGCATCATTAAAGAATTGAGAAGTAGACGAGGAGAAAGTGAGGATGGTCGGCGAAAATGGAAAGAAAGCGAGGAGGCTCTATCCGCAAAAGAGTGGCCAGAATCGTATTGGCGGAAGAATTCAACAACTTAAAGCCTTTCCGATTTAATACATCTATGAAAGCATCACTTCTCTCCCACTAAAGGCTCCAGCAGTGCCCGGAAGATCCACTCCCCTGTGATAAATATGACTAATGGAGTTAAAAGTACTAGGTCAATAAGCAAGGAAGAGTCCAAAAAATCGTATACTTGAGGCCAGGATAATGAAGGCGAAATTTCATGCAATGGCGCACACTGATAATGTCTTCCGTTTCTAACACCACGATCCATACCTAGTTTTGGGCGAAAATGCGCCCTAATGACAGCATTTTCAGCCTTAGCAATACCGGCTGGAACGAAAAAGATCTCAACTGAGCTTTATCGCTTAACAAGTAGAACGGTAAAATGTAAAGTAAAATTTACAAGATTTGAGAGCATGGCGCGATGACTAGAGGCGCCAGTCGCACTTTGTGATCAAGGATCGAATTCCAATCAGGTCACTAACCATAAGGTTTCCCATGATTCCGGGAATATAGATATTGTACAGCAGAAATAATGAAATTGAATAGCCCTTCCTGACCACCTTCCTGCCTGTCCCTGGCCAAATCTACAAGCCCCATATGCACTTTCGCGACTGTTCACTCGAAAGTCTAGGGCCACTGAGTTTCACCGCAGACCGCTTCCCGACGCATCTCTGATGTGAGAACAATGAGCCCTATACTCGTGATTAATAGCGCACAGCACCAGCGCGTGCTATACGGAATGACACGGCGGACGGTTATAAGAGAGGCGCGGCCGATTCGCACTGCGACACGGAAAAACAGAGGTCGTAGTCCTATGACTTGTCCTTCACCTGTACCGTGCGATAACGGTATGGTCCTGAGGCGTTGCGTACTGCCCGTCACGGGTAAGACGTGTTCATGGGGCCATCACATCAATCCTACGCACCAGCTCAAACTCCTAAACTTCTCAGGCAGGGGTTGCGTGATGGCCTGAACTTGCGGGGTCAGTATGAATTTCTTAAGGCAACCCATTTTGGTAAACGTGGGGTGCAAAGTTACCAACCCACGGTCTACACGCCAAAGTTACCGACCCTCTCCCGGTATCGCAAGATCAACAAGTTGTTCGCATGGACGATCGTCTCGGTATACGCGTGGGAAAATCCGCAACAGGGAGATCTTTTGCTCACACACTGCCCAAAAATTTTGGGCCCACAGTTGCCAGTACTTTTGGTATGTGCAGACCGATTTCAATCGCTCTGGCAACCTTCGTTCGTCGCCAATTTGCGCATGGCGCATTGAAATTTTTCAACATGACTTATCTCGAACCTGATTGGAAGGTCCAATGCTTGAACGATCATGAGGGTAAAGGCAGAACAGCATAAAACAATTGCATACTGAGGTGACCCTGAAAATGCAAAACGTCAGCATTAAAGGGATCAATATATTATATGAACACTCGGAAAGAAGCTGGTCGATGCCAAAGGACTATTGAGCATAAATATGAGAAATAACCGGTTTTCATGAAACTTTTCCAAATAGGGCCAAAAGAAATTGGCGAAATTTTCTCAATAGTGGGGAAAGAAAAAAGCTATAAAATCGAAATCGGGTGTCGAAATACCGAATCGAAATTCCTACCGCTACTGAAACCTTACGCCTGATTGCTCCTACCTGACAGTATATTTGACGAGTCCATCTGGGAACACTCGCATGCGAAAATTCGGGAATGAGACCTGATGGAACTGAGAAAACTTTGAGTTGACAAAGTACGGATCTGGCTTCCAGATCAGATCCAACACCTGTTTCTCACGTATTCGTATCGGTTTCGTGTAGTTGTTCATTAATCTGAAAATAGTTTTTTGTACAGCTTACGGTAGCATGTTGGACGGATTACTGTAACGTGCACACCTTAGATCATACCAACTCATTTCCAATTCGACATCGATTGAGTATTCCATGAGTTCACTGTCAAAGTTTGCCAAATATAGAATATTCATCTGGACGGACACCAGGACCGGAATATCTACAAAAGTCTCCTCTGACTACCGTATCCGAGAAGAGTACTGTAATATAAGTGCTACCTGCAAAAGCCGTAGGCACCGTGTTGTTGTCATATTCAACGCTGAGCAGAACCGGCAGAATGTAACTGCTGCCGTAATCTCTAAAATGGCTGTGCTTCTGATGGAACCTCATGCCTTGTTCCTTAGTATTCTGTAGGGTGAGTCCATACAGGTGAACAAGCCACGCATTCGACCTCCTTATACAGCCGTACGGGGAAACAAAAAATATTTTTCTCCTTATTTAAAGGTAAATCGATTATGAACCCGATACTAAACTCAAGTCCAATGCTACTGGAAATTGAATCCGTAGAACAACTTCATGAAAGCCTTCTACTCGGGTGACATTAGAAGAATCTGTTCTTTGAACGTGGTGCAAGATTCGAACTTAAAGGCAGTGGTCACGATAGCCGGAGGTGGTTGCTTTTGATGACGTCACTGAACGTTATTGGTGAATCGGACCCTCCAGCGTGGTTTGGACCGCCTCCCAATACTGAATTTAGCGACGTTATCAAAACGGCACCGCCTTTCGACTATGGTGATCACTGCCTTTAAGGCCTCCTCGGTGGCGATGACATTGACTTCGTATTTTGAAGACGGCGGGCAGTTAACAGCGGCTCGCTTCTGCTTATGGGGAGCATACTACCGTAAGACTTCTACCAACTGCCTGCAACGAGAAGTTTCCTGATGTCTGCCATGAGTTGAAACTAAATTTTACCTCCCCCGCTGTAGATGGCTCTTGCGCCAAGTTATGCTAGCTGCAGAGCTCTTCCTAGGCCAAGGCGTCAAAACACGAAGACCTGACTCACCTATGGCTATCGCCTTTCATCTCCTCCAAATGCCAACTGTCCTGCAGCTTTTTACGAAGTTCCTCAAGGTCCACATTCTAAATGAGAGCGTTTATCGGGTGCAGGTAGACGCCATGCATACGTCTTTTGGGTGGAATCCTTATTCTTACCAAATACCCTAGCACTGAGCTCTTTTGGTGCCATAGGTGCCTTTGATTTACTTGTTTGTTTGTTACAAACAAAACTTGCCACATAGAGACCAAACAAGCAGCTGTTCAAATCAACAAGAAAGCAACAAACAATCGTAACATGCTAGATCACTGGCGAACGTAGAAACAGCAGGTAAACAAAATGACACTATACGACAATCACCAATTCTCACCAAGTGCAGGTATGGGGGTGCTATACAAGTAGGGTGGGCACGCCGCATTTTTTGAACAGAAATGTATGTAAGTGGTACTGCTGCCCACTACTATACTGTCACAATAATCGGGGAATTCGTGAGCCAGGGGGAGTGTAGCCAATCTAGGGGGTGGGGAGGTGAGGGCAGTCACTTGACATGCGTGAGAAGTTGAGCGTGCCCACCCTACTTGTATAGAGCCGGGAGGCATCGGTGAGAAGGTTCGGGTTGGGAAGGCGAGCAGATTTTTCGGCTAATTGTCGTGACCTACCGTACTACGGATCGAATTAACTGCAAAATTCTATTGGGCCATGTACAATACTGTCAATTTTAGTACGTCAATTTAAAAACTTTGTATCGTTCCTTTGTACTCACAACAATCTACGAAGCTCGTCAGACAAAAAATAATCAAGAGAAATAAACAAAGTAGCAATTATCAAAAACTTCACTTTAGCGTTTTTCTCACCGCCTCAATACAGAACACATGGCGGTTTGGACGGATTCGCAGGACTGCCAGCCGCTCCTTTATTACGTAGTAGCTCAAGAGCCATTTCATATTGAGACGAAAGCCGCTTTCGCCGCTGCATCAAGATGAACCCGCCTTGGCTGCCACAATTGGAAAATTTATCCAGTGTTCCTTGCGATTCAGAATGGCACTAACCTTCAAAAGTGCGCAAATATGGGCTTTTAACCAAAAATTCGCTGACCTGAATTACTTTTTTCAATGGGATGCTGATGTTGTTTGAACTCCCATGCTTCAATGTCTCTAGAAGACGATGCAGAACCCTTCTAAAGTGTTCAATTTTCGACGATGAGGTAAAATTGGGCTACAAGTGTCGTCGCTCAGCGCCCAAACGAACTCGTCCCTCAATCCCGGCGATACCGACAGGAGGCGCTCGATCGCGCGGCGAAGCGGCGACGTAGCAGCGCGTGAGTGTGTGATACAGGACGTACAACGGTGCATACTATTTGGTAACGACGACGAGATCCCCGCATGCGGGGTGAGACTCGATCCACGTAAATCTTGTCTGCATGTCCGCGCCGATGGTGTTCCATGTGTCCTGAAGTACCCTTAAAGGTTCCTAAATCCCGCCCCTCGCCGCACAACTCTTCGCGTGCGGCGCCGCGGCGAGTTTACGATTCTGTCGACTGTTACCCGAATGGTGGTGTGGTAGAGCGGAATAGCACATAGAACAAGAAGCTTATAAAAGGACCAGATTTTGTTACGTTCCCCAAACTTTCTCCTCATCAAGGGGTTTGACCACACCCCCTGTGAAGCACCGTGGGAACGCGTGGCGAACGATTACTGTGAGCAAGGTAAGTTTCGAGGTAACCCACCGGTGTTTTGATCATCATCTCCTTTTCAAGCAACTCGGTGTCAATACGGCCATGCTCCACGTCCGGATGTGGAAGTGCTTGTGGTGGTCGGAAGATCATCTCCTCTGTAAACAGCTTCGTTCAACGGCGTTGCCACCACACGTCTTGACAGCGACCTTACCGTGGACGTTAAACATTGGTCCTACTCTTCCAGATGTGTCCAATACTTCAGCCATGATCATGTCCTGAGCTTCTTCTGGGGTAATAGTTGAGGCTTCTGAGGCGACTGCCATCGAAAAGTTTGCGTAGTCCCCCTCATCGACGGCTAATTGTGGTGTACTTGCCGTAGAGAAGTTTGCATAGTCCTCGTCGTCGACATAGTCAGTAGCAGACCCCTCAGCGATTGCATCAAGCTGTTCTTCTCTCGTGATCGATGGTGAAAGCAACTTGGCAACAACAAAGCCGCTCCTGTTTGCTTCTCGTCCTTCCGATGAATCCTTCTGCAAAGGAGAGATTCTGCTGATGACAGAACCAAGCAGCAGTTTGGAAAAAAGCGAACCAACCCGCTCTGGCATTATCACTTCCAATGAGGAGTCCTTCTTGGTGTACACGATATATCGCTCTTGATTCACGGCTCTCACTCGCATCGTCCAAGAGAACGGCTGAAAACGCTAGCAAATTCTGTTAATTGCTTGAATGAAAGCAGGGGTGCTGGCTGAAGGCGGAGCGGTTTTGATGACGCACCATAATGATACGTCATCAAAATCTCCTCCATCTACAGCCATATGCACCGCGACTTCAAGCGGATCATCCTCACGTAACGTGACTGAGCGACCGACGCGCTTGCCAATCACACTTCTTGTCGATGCCTCAGTAAATCGGTGAGAGTGGAGTCGCCTATAAAATACAGCCAGGTTGGATCGAAATGAAAAGCCAGAAACACAGTAATGTGGTGTTCTAATTGGTGACTCCACGATTCTCGTTTACAACCTTACGAAGGGCAGAAAAAAAAAGGAGACCATCGTGAAGCCTGATTCTGGCCAAAACCTCCCTGTTGGGACTGGAACAACATCGGAACGCGAAATTATTTGTCTATATTGTTCGAGACCGTAAGCTTTTCACAAATGCCATAGGGGACGGTATTCTTTTGATTCTCTTGCTATCCAAAAGGGTCGTATCGAATGGTGGACTTTGGAGGAGGACTTGTGATTGCCGAAGTGGCGCTGCAGTGTCGAGAAACAATGGAAGGGAAAAGGTCCTAGTAGGCGGGAAATTTACGTGAATATTTCTTAGATTTTGTCACTTAGCAGAAACATGCACCCCACCCGAACTACTGCTGAACTGTAAGCTTCATGCAGTTAGACAATTAGTTTGCTGGCACTAGCCTTCGGTAAGGATCATCACCTGATGGTCTGGAGGGGGAGAGGTTTGATTAAAGCCACAAGTCAGGATTAGGCAACCAGCAGAAGTTCTTCCCAGGGTGCGATAGTGGGCTCCCAAGCACTGAGGGCGCGACACTATCGCGACCCAAAAGTGCGCGGCAATGGCGCTAAGGCCTTGCCCGCCGCGCTGCCCGCGCTGCCAGCGTAATCCACCACGGCATACGTGGTCTCTGCGTCCTCTCGCGTATGACGTACTATCTCGCGTTCTCCCTCGCAGCGCTGTGTCTCTCCGTCGTACTACGGCCGGCCTCCTAAGGGAAATTTAGTGATTTCTATGGTGCTTTTTGTCTTTTCCTCCGCTCCAAATAATGTCCCTCATTGCAAGACCATTGCCGTAATTAACAAATCAAAGCATCATTCAATCGCCGGGACTTCCGTGCTTTACGTCCATCCTCCTGACGGTGGCTGAAATTGGAGTAAAATGGGGGGAAATTTGTTCTGACGGTGGACCCTGTCTCAGGCCTCGTTCAAGGGAGTCCAGGGACTTTGCTTCCCAACCTGTTTGACGAAATAGGTCACGGTTCACGGTCGATATAGAAGCTACCTTGTCGCGCTTAGCTAACCATTTACCCGTCCGAAAAGGTTGTACGGTAGGAATCGGTCTGACAAAAGAAAATGATTCAAACCTGTCTCTGAACAGTCTACAGCGAAGAAAACAGTCAGAATCGCCACCAGCAACATCGTGAGCCCTGTTCGAACGTTTTCGCCAAGCTCTAGTCCATTCCAGTCGCCATACTGTATTGGGGAAAAGGCTTTGTGCAGCAGTGGTATTCAACGAGAAGCTGGAAAAAATGGGAAAGCTAATCTTTTTCCGAGAAAATGGCACACGAAAGGACCGTGAAAACTCTCTTAAAGGCAGCGACCACAACGGCAGGAGGGTGGTGCTGGTTTCATTGGCATCACTGAATATCATTGGAGGATGGGTGTTGAGAAGCACTTGTAACAATATCCTCAGCGATTGAGAGGGCCTTGACCACCAATAACGTTCGATGACGTCATCGAAACCGTACCGCCCTCCAGGTGTCCTCGTCGCCTTTAAATGCACACCCAACGAACCCGAACTACGAGAAAAAAAAAGATTTTTTAGTGAATTAGTTGCGAAATGTGCTTCAGGTTGATGGACGAAAGTAATACAGAAATATACAAAAAAATAAAAGGCACTTCGAATTTGGTTATTTTGTAGTTTCAGATTGCAAATGAGTCGCCTTTCAAAGCAAAAAAGTCCCCACTGAATGAAAACGACGTGTAACAGAGAGTTGACGATACTCCTAACATACCCTACGTCGGTTTCAGCCTCCTTCCGCACTGAGCGTTTTTTAAGTCTCAGAAATTTAGAGCGAGATTGTACGCTCATACTCTCCCCTTCAAAAAGCCAGAAAGTGTAGGGTGCAGACCAAACACCACAACTGACGACGGCCAACCACTGCGATCATTCGCTCACGTTTCATTCCTTCTTGGGAACCCATTCCTGTTTCGAATATGTGGAGGAACCTATTAAATTGAACACGCTGCTGATCACACGTCGAGCCACCAGAGATCGGACCTAATGTCATACACCTGCCACTTGAACGAATTCAAAGCCACGGCATAGATACATAATGACACATGATTGCTTGTTGACGCATTTTGACTGTGGAGCACTGAATTTGTGAAAATAACAAAGTCCCACAAATTACTGACGGTGACGCACGAATGTACACATATTTTCCCATCATTGCGGAACTGTCCCATACAAAGAACAGGGCGATAAAACTCTGTCACTACAAAACCCAGCTTAGGCCGGGTTTACGCTCTCTTGTGTGGGGGCCCATGAACCAATGGAGCAGAGGAACACCCATCGAAATGTGAAGTAGTAGGCTGAAGAAAGGTTTAACAGATAGCAAAAGATATTTTGCAAAATTAATGCTGGATTGTGAACAAAACTTTTGTGCTCGGTTGAATCCGACCCCGCACCTTCTAGCTAGCCGGACAAAAGCGCTACAAGTTTCGCCCTACTTGGGCAGTCGTTATTCTTTCCTAACTATCCTTCTGGCAATATTTTTCCATAATCATAAACTCATACGCACCATACCATTTACCATTTGTTTCCTGCAAGAGAGCAGTCGATGCAGGTTTCGTGTCTCGGACCTAGGGTCAAAAAAGTTGTCCGTTCACAATCTCAGCCACAATGCGATCTGCGAATCTTCAAACAGCAGGTAACAAAAAAGCAAGTCATAAATTCATAGGACAGAAGATGACAAATGGTCACCGAGAAAGAGCGTGGAATTAGTGTGAATCAACCGGCCCAGCGATGACAGACAGGTTGTTCACCTGACGACCTCCCTTGAATTGATTCAATTGGGGGAATAAAACGAATCTTCAACCCAGCGATTGACCGACTTGTTCACTTGCAGCCATTTGCCCGCTTCACATCGGTCTTTCCACAAATCATGCGCTATCTTCTTGGCAACCACTAAATCAATTCATTATTAGTGAAAGCAAATAAAGATCTTAGGGTAATGTCTGTGTTTGATGTTTAATTTGGTCCCTGCCGGGCTACCAGAACCCGCCGGGTAACCTTGTTGGAGGTAACACTTGTAAGCATGAGGAATGTCACCCACATGTGGGATCACACGTTCTAGAGCTCCTAGTATTATAAAAGCTGAACGCATGCTCCACCTTTCAACGTGGCGTGCGCCTTGCAACAATTTCCTAGTCAGTATTGTGGAAACATTTGGTTGCTCAATGGGTCTATACACTTTCGCATAGGCCTGCTGCAGCTAGGTAGCACAAATCAAAGACCCTGAAATAATAAGACAGGTGACTGCTCGAGGAAGGATCGATCCATCCACCCGGCTACTCACTCAAGAAATCACCGCTCCACCACGGTAAATATCTATGACTGCTATTTTTATCTTTCGGCTTGATTTTTGTGCAATTGGGGGGAGGGGCAGGGTCGGTCCTATCGTTGGTACTTTTTGCAAAATTTTTACGACCCCCCCCCTCCTCCTTCACGAGAAGTTTCATACGACCCCCTCTTCACAGCCACTTTTTCCCTCAAAAAACACCGTCGAGCGGGAGGTATATAACTACCATGAAACCGCAAAATTTCCCTATATTTCCCTTCATTTTCCCTCATTTTCACCTATATTTCCACTGCTCCCTTTTCTATCACGGGCGGCGTGAGGGGGAATATATACGCACGCTGAAACGGCAAATTTTAACAAGTACGACCCCCCCCACTACAAACTTTAACAAACTACGACCCCCGTTGGTGCTTGTAGCAACGTAGGGTTAACGCTGGGGGGGGGGGGCACTCTGAGGCTTTGTTTTGGTTTGCACCGGCTATAGTAATGTCGATTTTCTGCTAGGTGAGATAGCTTCGGATGGTTGAAGCAACTTTTTGGTAACAAGCTTTTGCCTAACACTTCACCCCGTCGGTGCCACAGCTTTTCCTAGAAAGTATTAATAGAAAAAAACTTTGCATATGGTTTTTATGCAATGGGTTCTGTGCACTCCCCCCCCCCACCCCAACCCAGGAGCCTCTAGATCTCTTACTATTCCAATTTTACACTCAAAGATCTCCGCTGCCTCCGGAACCGCCCAAATTCCTTCTTTTTAAGCCGGAAATGAACAGCTTTGGTCGCGTCGACAATTCTGATCCCACTTCAATGTTTTCACGGCCATCTCCGCGATCTCTTCAAATTCTGGGCGCGAGGTTCGTATCCGGGACGAGAGAAGGCGGAGCCTGCACGTAAACGTCCACGGAGGACTGGATCCTCCGAATGGTCACTTTACACTCGAAGACTGCTCATTCACTCTGCTCCTGGTCACCAGTCGTCTTTTCTTCACCGACGTAGTAATTGATCGATATGTATTGCGTATCCCGATCGCTAGTGATTTCTTGGGACAGCCTTGACCCATTTCTGGCGTTCTCGAAGCGCTACTACGTGGCCGCTAATGTGGTCCCTTTCCGTGCGAGAACTTGCTGATCCCCAAATCGCCGCTAATTTCTTTCTTTTCCTCATTTCTTTCTTTTTATTGGGTTCAGTTTTTCGGGAATACCATATAATTGCTTTCTGCCAGATTTGCGTGCGAAACTTTGACCTTCTATTTGAGTCCTTTGTCGTTTAGCCATAATTTGGGCATCATTAGCCTCAATTGTGTGCGAGGAGTTGGGGCCGGAAAATTGCCTTACGTGTCCTATTTTTCTGGCAGCCACCTGGGGTGCATTTTTTTCGATCTCTTTACGTCAGCAAGGCAGGTTGGAAGTTCTGGTGTGGGAATTGGTTAATCCACACCTGCGTAGTAGAAAATGAGTGGAGTCGGCGGGTAATCGCTGGTCTTATTTGAAAACTTCCTAAACGCTGTTTCGGCGGTACTGCCTACCAGGTACTAAGGTAAAGCATGAGTGGGTAGGGGCCAATATCTCCATCTATTACGCCACCTTCTCTCACCATCAATTTCGCAACGGAGCGAAACTTGCCGTCCAGGGGCGGTCGACCTCGTCAACGTCGCTGAAACGGCGAGAAAACTGTAATCTGCTAAGGAATATGAGCCCATTCTCAGTCTTACCGCCACTTCCTACCGTTCAGCAGCGCTTTGAAACTTCTCTTAGGCTTCCTCTAGGAAATCCTACCGTACTCTCTCACCCCTCGGGGATTTTCTTTTGCTCAGCCCCTATCTCTTCTCTTAAACCCCACGCAGAATCTTTTTCCTTCCTGTTTTTTTTTTCGATTTAATGGTCCCTTTTCAGACATGCTTCTCATCGTTTCGCTGTTAGTTGTCGCCGGGTTAGCGAGTGCAGCGGAGGACCAGAAGCTGTCCTGGAAGGTTTGTGGTGTGTTGTGGGCAAGGGAGCAATAAGAAAATTGATGATACTGCCTTATGATGGGATCTGGTAAGCTTCCTAACTCCATATGTACTTATATGTAGAGCTAAGAAAGACCTTTCGCCGGTTATCCCTGAAGGTCAAAGGATTTGTAAGATACTGTTAGGTCTTGACTCTCTACAGTAACTTAGCTCTACTTCAGGACGAAGATGGTTTGGAGGTGAAGATTGTGAAGCCGATCAAGAAGGAGCTGTGCACGGTCGTCTCCAAGCCAGGTGACGAAGTCGAGCAGTTCTATCGATTGACCGACAAAGACGGCAAGGAAATCGGCAGCAACTTTGGCAAAAAACCGTCAGTACAGAAAAATCGAATTTTTCTAGGGAAACTGGGATCTTATCTAACTTAAATGTTTCAGATATACCTTCGTCCTGGGTAAAAATCAAGTTATTGCCGGCATGGACCGAGCAATGACTGGCATGTGCATCGGAGAGAAGCGAAAGGTCGTCATCCCTGGAGCGCTCGGATTCGGTGACGGTGGAAGAGAAAGGTGAGCCCAAATATCTTCGGAAAGCTCTTTTGAAATGATCCTCCTTAGTTTTTCCCCCTAATATGGCCTTGACTTAGGTGAGGGGGTGGGGAGAAAGTTTATATAGATTGAATAATGGGATTATTGGTTCTATTTGCCATTAGGATACCGTACCCTCTCGGAACTTGGACCTTTCGTCAGGAGTACCAGACAAGGGCCGGGGTGAGGGCCCACATTCCCATCTTTCCTTTAGAGCGATTGTATTTGGGCCAAAGGATTTTCTAACCACTTTATGGACTTGGTTTGAGCAATTAACGTTACCTAAGGTAAACATGGTTAA